GTGTAGGGAGACTATCTCATTATGTGGTCTAACTAAAATATTTTACAGTTTTACTTTATACGTTACAGTTTTAATTAATTACACATTTATATATATATAATTATTTGCAAATTAAAACTATTTACATTTCATAAAATTAATAAAACTTAAAAAATGATCCCCCGCATACACAAATATTAAGACTACAATAATCTTGAAAACACCAAAAATAACCTTTTTTTTAAATCAAATCTCCGTAACAAATATGGCAATTTTTCTAGGGGCATACCTGGTAACACTGTCTATAGGACCTTGTTGACTCACGATATTGACCGATCGCATTTTGTTGGCGATGGTGTATTACTGTTATTGATTGTATTCGGCGCGTGACTTGTGTCGACGATTGTACTCCCACTGATAAACAAGTTGTAACGCATTGAGTGTTACAACTTGTTTATAGAACTGTCTGTCCGAACTAATCAAACAAGCCAAAATAACAATGGTTCTTTCATTAGCTCTACTTTCGATATATCAATGAGGGTAATTCCTCGTTTTTGCATTCAGTACAATGTATTTGAGTGTGCCATTAAAATGTCAATTATACATTCATAAATAACACAGTAATATAGAAATAGGTTTATCAATAATTCTTATAGAAACTTATCAATTTGAAACGATTATTTTGCTAATTAATTTAATCATCATATATTAACGCATATTGTGTCGGATATTGGGGACAGCTTTATTGATAGTTTTATAGCAATGCTGTAAAGAATAATCATAATTTTTACGACGGTTAATAATACAAACTGCCATCATTCACGTTGACGCATTTTCATCGACGCAAGCTCGTAAAAATAATTGTATCTTACAATGTAAACACGAATTATGGAATCTGTCAGTTACCCATTTAATTGCAGTATTCCTATTTTAAACAGACTTATCATACATAAAGGTATTGCAATTACATAAAATTATCCATAAATAGTAATAGGTATTTGGCATAGTTTTTTAAAGTTGTGTTTATTTGAAACATAGTCGTCTAATGCTGAAGCGTCAACGCGCGCCATTTATCGCGTAAATTTTTGTCCGTTATTTTGGCCAATCGCATATGCCATTGGTATACTGACCATACAATTATGTATTTATTGTAAACGCTACGATTGCCGGCTGACTGTAATTTGCTTTTAATTCGCCCTCTTTCGTATCATTTTCGAGTTTCTTCTTTTTGCCGACCCTTCCATGATTTGTTGTTATCAATAACAATTTATTTCTCTGATTTTAAATTTTATTTGTTGTGTTGATCCAATGTATATTTAGACTGTATTGTAATTCAAAACAATACCTAAGTATTTATATGGTTATTAGTTAGTCTTTATAAACTTTTGTTTGAAATGAGTGATAAGGAAAACAATGTAATGCATTTAATGGGTCGTATCTTTTCCCTGCGACTTAAAGCGTCCAATAATTTATTCCTTTTACATGATTTACTAGCCATTACAGTATGTTAACATTTCCACTTAAAACACGGAGTTTATAAAGTCTAGGAGGCTACATTTACGAGATATATGCTATTTTATAACAGCAACAAAACTTTAATAAAGCTTGCCTTCATTTTATTGCAATTACTATTGCATACAAACTTACAAAGTATGTGAACACTACATGTGTTCAGTGTGTGTGTCCACGTGTATTACCTGGCGATGTTTATTTTTTTTTGTATTTGAAGAATTACTGTTCCATATTCTTATTTCAGTGTAGTCTGTTCATCAACTTAACAGGATTTGAGGCAATGAAGTTTTAAAATAATGTTGAAACAAAAACCCTGAGACACTAATGTAGGTACATAATATTTAAGGCGCAAGGAAAATTTTGAAATGCTAGAAAACTCAATGTCTATCTTTTCTTAGATTTTTTTCAGTGCAGTCTTAATATAAAAATATATTCCTTGCAAATTACAAATTGACGTTTAATGCGTTTAAAAATTGTTCACACAGTCATATTATATAAGTGCAGTGAAGGAATACAATGTCAACGTTGGCACGGGTTTCTGTAACTTTATGGCCAATCATTTATGCCTCGCTCGTTTGGTCATTTTGTAATCTATCTGCAATAAAACTCGACGTTTATTTTGCTTCTTTCATTATCTTAGCAGAAATTGTGAATTTTAAAAACCTTCCTTGCAATTTGTGATAAAGTACAAAGCAAATTGTTCGTCTTTGACAAATTCAACGCTGTGTATCGCTGTAAAAAGGAATTTTTATCTTTTGTTAAAATAATTTATCCTAAATGTTTTTGCGCTTATGATTGGCCTTATTCCAACCTACTTTAAACACATAAGTGATATAATTGGGGTCCCGTTTCTATCGATTCTAATTCAAAATAATGACTAGTAATTTGGTACAATCATTTGTCGAGGACAGTCGATATCCGATCAATAAATCGATGTGTATCGACATAATAGCGGTTCGGAATCGACGTTTCATTTCTTTAAATGCCCTGATCAGTGAATTCGCTTAATAATAGTCATAATCTTAAACGATGAACATTTTGTAGGTTATGGAGAAATAATTTGTGAGAGGGTCAGACTAGTTCTTTTTTTGTTATGTACAAATTACATCAAGGCAGATAGCCAACCGATTGTTTGATACTTAGATATACCAATAAAGAAATACATGTATTTATGATGGGAACGTAACTCTCAGGAGAACGGTGAGATAGAAAATGTATATTTAAAGCCATATACTTAACCGTATAAAACCAATGATAATGATGTGCATAAATATCGCGGCTTCAATCTAAAACATAGTAAACCTACTCGAACCAATAGTCCTGACCGCTCTTAAAATTAGAAAGAGTAGAATATATGAACTGCTGCATATAAGAAAGAGACAAGTGTTAGGGTTGTTTGGACCGCAGGTTACTATGAGATTTAACACGTATTTAGTTAATTAATAAGTGCGGTTGACCGGTGCGGTTACCGGTCCTGTGTGTTCGGGGATGTGTAAATATGCTTTTTGGTTTAGTGACCTAATTGTGGTCTTTTGGGGCTTAATCGGAAAATATTTGACTGTATATTTTGGTATTCATTTCTCCAAGAAATAGTTTTGATATTTTTTTATCTGCAGTAGGTACTTTCCCTTGGAATATAATTACAACAGGTATGTTGCCAAGGGTAGCAAACATTAAAAATATATTTTGGATAGTAGGTATATAGATTGTGTATGTAAATGTGTAATGATTAAATATACTTATATTTTAAAAAAGATCAGGCTAAATTGTAGTTCTGCCACAAGTACAAATACTTTATGCATAAATAATAAATACTGTCTTAACAATAGCTTGCTAAATAAAGGTAGTTAAAATAAAAAAACTGGTTGTACTTTTACATACTACTGTACCTAGAATGTCTAAACTAAAGAATTGAAGGTAATATTTAATTAGAAGACCACTGGGTGGTTTTAGTTAAAACTATTCAACATTTCAATACTAATGTCTTATTTATTACAAGAAAAAAAATGACATTTTACATTCATTCCAAATATTTGTACGCTGGGAAGTTGGAATGTTTTTCCAACTGGAAGTGTCCACACACTGAATAATTAATTACAATAATAAATACGAAGTTGTACGCAATATGGTTCACAAGATAACAGGAGCGGTTAGCTAAGTAAATAGACCCTACCAATTAATTCTGGGTCCATTGGTCATAATATTTGTTTGTTTGTATGTAACTTGGTACTACTCTGTACTTCTGTTATACTTTGATTTGCTTGTGAGGGTCGTAATAAATTATTTAGCGTCACGTATTCGACATTTGAATATTTGGGTCTTTATTTAAACACTGAATGGATTTATTTGTTACATTAATTTAAATAAATAAAATTGAAAAATACAAAATAAATATGAATAAGTTATGAAATACATTGAAATATAATGTGCAAGTACCTACGCATTTTTTCCAAACGATGTACCTATTAATTTCATAAGCTCGGGTCCGGCGTTATTGGGCCGATGATGCTAACGATCAAAATGAGAGGAGTGTTTACAGCGGTCTCTAGAAGATTTGCTTATAATTAAAATTTTCGCATTAAACACCGCATCACATACCTGCGCCCTTAATCGCGGAACAAAGCGACACACAATATTTAATATTCAGCAATCCCAAAATCCTTTGAAAACGCTGCCACAATGGAAAAGGGTATTTTCCTTTAACGGTTGGACCGTTAATTCGTGTTTAATTCGACACCTTGTTAATTGTTTCCGACGCCCCAGTAGGTTTGGTGACCTCGGGGGGCAGACAGGTCATGGGCAGCTAAGGACCACCTCGGAACACCCTCACGGGGCGCCATTTTAAGAATATTTGCCAACCCCCCCTTATGTTTACTCGGGTTGTTTGTGGTACCCAGAAAACAATAGTCTCGAAATTCATTGCTCATTTTATTATTGTTGATACACCGTTTTATGGGCGATTCGATTATTGGAACGAGTAATTAAATGATAATACTGGCCATTAATTGGATTTTACCTCAGTGTTACGCTTAAGTGGTCTCATGTTTACCTTAGACCACGCCACGCCGCGGCTTTTACTGTTATTTCAACTTGTTCAAAATATTCCGTGAAACCGTTATAGTTATTTGTTTTACAATAATATTCTCATTTATACTAAGTAAAGGCGTACCAGAGACGAGATTATCATAAATTCACAACATTACAACACATTCAAACACTACAACATAGCACCTTTTACTGAATTTGGAAACAAATAGCTATCATTTGTACCATAGATATGTTATCTATTCCGAAGATGGTTTAAGGAATCACTTTAGTTACAAAACCTTGCTGCAAATAAATCTTGTAATTTCAATGCAACCAAATTTTGATGGTTGTGATAAACGATTATTATTATTTTATGTCAGTCTACCATTATAAATTATGTAAATTTCATATACCTTTTGAAGCACAAAGAATATGAAATCTAAATTTGTGAGGTACACACTAATTAATCATTTACCTTTCAGAAATGGCTCGCATGGAGAAGTCGCCGCTTTTAGCGAACGGCTACAATGCACCACCTACCCATCTAACGCCTATGGGTTTCATGCACCAGCACGCACTCATGTCTCCCGGTATGCCACATCCGGGCGTACCCCGACCTGATGGATCCATCATCAAAGGACAGCCAATGCACAATATGGAGGCACTTGCAAGGTAAGATTTTCTAACTGTAAATGTCATCGATGAGTAAACTGGGTGAGATGATTTAAAAGTACCTAACTAACCAACAGTGTGATTAATGTAGGTAATGGGTTTGATTCCCGTATGAAATAATGTTCATACGTATTAAGTATGAAAAACCCGTTTCGATGTTTATTACTGGTTTAGTTCTGTCACTTCAGATACGTCTTTTAATCTTAACCGAGTCTAAAATTTAGAATACAATAAGTTCCTATATATACATGCTGCAGGTGCTTATATTTTTGTTCAACTATTGATATTATACAATTTGAAACCAATCAACTTTGTGTAAGATCTACATTACTTAGAAGAACCCTCTGGCTTATTTTACAGAACCGAATGTTAGTCAAGTCTGCACAAGTGGTAGGAGTAATAGTTTACGGAGTAGCTATTTTGAGTCTGGGTGAACGTGCATTTCATCTACCTTTCTACTTACCCGTCACTACATACTTTACAAAGTTTTAAAATTCTCGAATTGTAATTTCGTTGTATTTACTTACAACCGGCTCAAATTCGGTATAGCCCAGTGTGTTATATTGGTGCTAAACATAGATTTTAAAACGGTAAGAGGTAGTCAAAACCACTACGTTATTTCTGTGTACCTATATATGTATTTCTATAGTTCCATCAACGACAGTAAAACTTCTAAAATTATAACATTTTATTACTTTCTTGATACTTGTTGTTAATGAGATGGAGTAATCACTATTTTTATTGTGAAAGTGTTGCCAGTTTTTATGAAACAGGATAGCTGTGAGCCACAGAAAAATGATAAAATAGCTCCACCCTACCGTAACTTTCTGTCATTTTTACGACTCTGTCCTGTCCTGGACATGTACTGCGGCTCTCCATATAAGGCTGTCATAAACGGTATTACAGGAAGTGAGACTATTTCAGTTTTATTGATTGAAATATAAACTAACGTCCCATAATTTATGTACAATATACATAATGTGTTTATGGTAACGATTCACAACTTGTACCTCAATTTGAAATACCAAAATAACAAGTTTTTTATGCTTGGTTTTTTTAAAGTTTTCTAGAACAAAGGAATGAGAAAATTTATTAAAATGACGAGGAAAATTAAATCTGTGGGTCAGGAAAAGCGGCACGTGTATCGTACCTGCCTGAGTTTCGTTAATATTACAAGGAAGAAAATTTTGATTCTGAAACTGTGAAAAGGTAATGATGAATCGCTGCTTCGCGCACTGTCTTCTTTTTTTCTTAATTGAGTAACTTTCGGAGCTTTTGCGTCACATAAGATCACGATCTTCGATTGTTTTGTTATTAGTTTTTTACTATTACTTCATCACTATATCTAAACATCACATTAAATACCTAATAGAAAGCCGTCTTGAGCAAGGTCTTTCGTTACATTTAACCAAGAGAGTGAGTTTACTGCAGGCACAACTCCACGCTTCCCTAATTCTGGTGGGGGGTGGCACTCAGAGGACGAAAACGTTTATAGGTAGTCACTTACCATCAGGTGACCTACTGGTCTTTTTTCCCTACACCATACAACATGAAATAACAAGATACCACTGTTGTTGTTGCGTACAAGTCTTTAAAGGAAACTGCTTACGTAAGTAAGGTGTAACCTTGTGCTGGTTTATATCAGTAGTTACATAAAAACCATGCATTCTTATTGCCAGACGCATAAGTCACTGTGTAAGGCAACAAACAAAAAACACTGTTTTGTTAAACTTTTTTTTCTTTAATAACTAATGCAATTGGTATGTAGACTCACCTAAATATTGTATGCAAACGTGATATGTATTATTCCAAATGCGTATAATAAAATAAATGGTACGCCACATAAACGGCTTACGAATAAATTGACGAAAAGAAACCTTTAAGCAGGTCGGTCAAGTGGTGCAGGTTAAACGTCCGCTGAGGGAACTTAATCCTGTTAGAAAAGTACAAACACTGAATGCCCTCACTTCCGTCCGGAAGACCCACAATGCTCACTTGACTTACCCCACTGTCTTACTGGCATTCATGTAACTTAAGTACCTTACAGCCTTATACATACATTCATATCTGTGACATCACTCACATTCAGGCCTGGTATCTCTCCTCATATCGGGAATTAATATTTGGCTTCCCAATATGGACTTTTGGTACGTCACTTATAAAATATAGGCATATAGAAAACTTTTTGGTTTTGATTCCTTTGGGTAGGTAGTAATTTTTGGGTGTAGTATACAAATTCAGGATTAACTTGGAAGCTAAAACTAGTTTTTTTTTTACAATTAAACCAAGACGTCACAAAAACAAATTGAAGTAAAATTAGAATATAAAATGAATGATTAAAATTTAGTTGTCGAAAGGTAGGTATTTAAACATAAATTACAGCATAATTTTTAAATATTCTCCTCCACGTATGAAGAAATCAGCATAGAAAGTATTTGAGCGGTAAATCTAGTTGTACTGTTTTTTTTAGCTTTTGGTTCGTATATCCGATGAGTTACGTCAACACACTATTATTTTAAATTATTCATTCAACAAAGTTAAAGTAGTCATTTACGAGTATGTTCTGCAGGGAATTAACAAGAAAAGATTGAGATGTGAACATTTAACATTTTAGATAATATTTTATGACTAAACCTGAATTCAATTGAAATTAACAAAATTAAAAAAAAATACATTTCAGTATTGGCGTGAGTGTTAAAACAAAGAAAACTATGAATAACAACCCTTTCTTAAATGATACTTAGTAACAAAGTGAGTAGACTTGATTATAAATGACGAAGAAAAGTTTAATGAAAAACAAAGAGCTAAAGTAATCGAGAAACAATTTGAACGATCACGCATGAGTAGCTCCAGCACAAATATAAGCGATTGTTTTTAAAACATAATTAATTTCAACGACCCCTCGCTCCACCTAACGGAACATTTAATATTGAGTGCTCATAATTATTCCTTTCATATTCAAACCCTTTTTACAAACTTTCTTTGCAAATACTTGAGAGTAATTTGTTGCATATTTCTTCCTGTTTTCTTAGACAAGTGAACTCTATATTCACGTATTCTCTAGAATTGTGTGTTGTTCGATATCTTCAAGCATGTTTTAGTGGGATTGTTTGCTAAAGCTTGTACGGGTCTTAATCAATCGTATCGTAACCAAATTAATTTTTGTTGTCTCTCTTGTGGCCGAGCCTATTTTATTTATCTTACCGTACTATTAATAAGTAAAAATTGTTAATAAACGACAAAACGATGATAAGATTTGTTATGTAGTTATAAGGACATAACAAGATTTGTGATGTGTTGTATACATATACAATTTTATCTGAAATGAGAGCTGCTTTAGGCGGTTTGTTGCTGCATTAAGGTAACATGATCATCATTCATCACTTCCTTATTTTAATTTTATGATTCTGTATCAGTCTGATTTACTTGCTGTTTCTTCATTTTTCTTATTTTATTTTCTTTTGTCTGCAGATCTGGTATTTGGGAGAATTGTAGAGCAGCTTATGAGGACATCGTTAAACATCTCGAAAGGTAAGAAAAATGTAGAAAATTCTCATACAAAAGATCTGAAACGAATCTTCAGCTTAAACTGAACTTAGTTTTGTGTTTTCGTTTTATTTTTCATTTGTTAATATCATTTTTTATTTGATTGCATAACTGATGAAAGACAGAACATAACAGTAAAACTGTCAAATGAAATGTCGTCATTTGAAAATAAAACAAAATCTTTGTTAATTTGAACGTAGCACACTGCGCAGATATCGCCGGAGGGTGTGAAATTAGAGGAGACAATTAGATCCGTGGATCGGGTGTATTTTTAACAAATGACCGCTCGCCGGGACGGCTGCGGGGTGCGAACGATTCATCAAACTCATTCAGGGGCTAATCTCGATGCGAGGAAAAAGCGGCTCTCATGTAAATTGGGCTGATTCAAGGGCCAATCGGTGGGGGAAAGCACTTTTCTTTCTTGTTTAATGGATGGTGATTGATCGCCAAGTCGCTTTGATACTTCGCGGTTTTGACTTCGATTTTACTGCGTTTCTACGTTTTCTTACACGGTAACCTGTCAAAAGATTTTATTGAATATGCGGTGATTTTAATAGGAAACTGTATTTCTTTCAGCGATTTTATTTACTCCACTAAAATATTAATGGATTCATACTCTTCTACGGACTTACCTATTGATTAATACATTCCTCACACCAGTGTTTTTTTTTTAATTTTAAAATTGTATATGGCAAAGTAAGTTCAATTCCCCAAATCCATCTAATTAATCGTTTAGATTGGAATATAAAATGGTAGGTAGTGTGAATGTAGGTTCGGGGACCGGGCTCGGGTAGAATTACAGTCGGACAGCGCGCCTTGTACCAATGTGTCACTGTCAGCCGGCGATCGTCCGGCTATGGCCGCTGGATTAGGGCTGTTTTTAAAGAAATTACTTTTTTTTATGCACTAGTTTTGAAAAACCTTGTTTAATATCGATAATATTAAGGTAGCTGTAGTTTTCAGCAAATGATATTTTATCTTTTTATAAGTAGATGAAAGCCAATACTTAATTTAAAAGAAAATTCATGAAGCCGAGATTCAATGCGAAGACAGTCTCATAGCATGAATTAAGCTTATATACACTAATATCTTCTTATGGTTTAAAAGTCTGTCAACAATGCAAGAATAATGAAAATATAAACAGGGTAACACTGGTCTATCTGAAACTATTTACTAACGGTGAGTAATTCTTATCAATATGACATCAGCCAAGAACAATACTCTTGAAAGAGATATAATATTTTTCTGATCAAATCGAATTTAACCGACTAGCACAGATACTAAAAGAAAAAAAAAAAAAAAAAAAAACTTTATTCTGCAAGAGAACAGCATACAACTTTATATAACTAACTTAATACTAACCTTATACAAATACAATAATATTACATTTTTTAAAGTGCAACACTATACTACGCTATCTGTGGTTTAGTAGTCTATGAGACTATACTCTATACTCTTGTCTTTCTTGTAGAATATCGCAGCATCTTTCTTGTAGGAATGCCGTAGGACCTACTAAGTTGCGTAAGAGTTATAATGACAATGAGAAACTTTGCTCCTTGTACAGCAACCACAGCAGCGCAAAAAGGGTTGAAAACGCTTGAGCCTCCGCAAACTTCTTATAACAGTGGTATATCATAACTGTAGTATAAAAATATACCTTTAACTAATTCCATGATATATTGAAACATAATTTTAGCTCTTGTAGTGTATGTCTAGACATATTGTGTTGTTTGGACGGACGTATCTTTATATGCAGAATCATAAATAATTAAATTAGCATGAAGAAAAGTACAGCAAGCGTACTGATTAATACAAAGTAATTAAAATTAAAAACTATTAAATGAAACACGAGTCCAATTGCCAGCAACAACAGGTAATATAGTTAAGTCATATTAATGTCCTTGTCTGTTTGGCGGGCTTCCTTGCTCTCGCATTATCTTGGTTCGTTTAACGCATGCGCCGCGACCGGTTCTCAATGCTAACTCCAATTAATTGACAGGATTATCTCTGATTTAATATAATTTGTATGTACTGTTTGTTTTGTTTTCTCTTGTACAGACGCGCTCGTGTTTCATTTGCAATTAAAATCAAATTTATTTAATTACTCTTTCTTAGTTAAAAAAATGATTTTTGTGAAGATAACAAGGCTCAAGTATGTATGTCAAGTATGTAAGTAAGTCATGTATTTAGATGTAAACAGGCTTATTTATAAGTAGGTTATATGATGTCATATTGAAACAAAAGAAAAACTTACTCAACCGACTTCATATAAGATATATAGATACATACATAACAGAGAAAATTCTCATGTCGTCCGCATCTTTTATTTTCTCATGTGTCACCCGGTAAGTCGATCATGACTGGACTGATTTAAATACTTTCTCTATGATTAGTCCTATTGTTATAAGGTTAAAATATTAGAAGTCAAAAGATCAGAATAATGACATTAAGGAAATCAAGGGAATTCTCCTAAAGGTTCATCTAATAACTACAATTTAGGTGTATTTATAGCATCTTCATCATCTCTCATCGTCTCGCTCATTTTCTTTTATTGATATAGACCTGAGTATGAATATTGCCACCGGAACTATTTATTAATAATTGTTAACGGGTTGCGAATCGATTATATTAATATGTTTGCTAAGAACTTTTGATCGTCGCAATCTATGTGATAAACAATTAGGCAAAATTGGCAAGTGCAGGGCAATGCAATATTTCGTAATGAAATAAGGAACTTATATACTGCTGACACCAGCGCACATCATGCACTGTGGGGTAGCAGGAGCAACAACAAGAGAGGTGTGGAATTTGTCCTTCCTTCATACTATCAACCGAACTGAACATTATCAACATAGACTCGGAGCCGACATTTGTTACATCCAGAGCCTAAACTATATTGGCGAGTGAGCACGCATCGCAACACATCTCGAATTGGCTTGTTTCAAATTCAATTTTGAAATAATCTCAAATCACCCGATCCCCGACGTAACCCCTGTAAGATGGACCGGAAACGGTATGAGTATCTTACTGTAGAAAAACTGCGGGATATTGACTCAACATACGCTGAGGGAGCTGTTAAGGACATCTACAATCATGTTGTCAACCGTACGACATGTTGTCAAATGTGTTTACACGTATGTACATTAACCGATCGCTTTGAACAAACATTCCCGCTTACTATACCCAGCACTGGACCACAGAACAAATACCAGTAGTTCTCACCACCGGAACTGAAAAAACTAGGTCGCAAGGTGAGAAACTTGTTCAGTAAAGCAACACTGGGATGGCTGTACGCAGGCCCGGCAATAATACAAGAAGCGACTCAGAACCAGGAAAACTGAGTGCTGGAGAAGCGTCTGTACCAACATAGAGAATAACAACCAGGCCAACAGAGTAAAAACATATTGTGTAGCATCGGCGAACACAGTCTTGGCTCACTGAGTATGATGGTGAGTATACCAAAACAGACTCGGACGCCTCAGAGCAGTTATTAAAAACACACTTCCCAGGATGTCGCATAACAGATGTGATGGAAACGTGAAAAGAGAGGTGGGAATAAGCACCAGGCGAAACAGACTGGGAGACGGCCCACAAAGTTGTAAACCACGACAAACTTAGATGGGCAATCAACAGCTTCCTTCCATTCAAGGCGCCAGGAATGAATGGTATCTTCCTATACCTGCTGAGATGGTATGACTTGACGCTTCTAGATAACCTTGTAAAAATCTACAGAAGCTGCTTGGCACACGATTACATCCCCTTGAAAGGGAGAGAAGTCAAAGTAGGCTTCATCCTCAAACCGGGCAAAGGTGACTGACACACAATCAAAATCACACCGACCTATTAGTTTCACGTCCTTCTTATTAAAGGTTCTTGAGAGGCTAATAGATGAGCACTGCGTTAGTCAGCCACCCACTACACCACAACCAACTCGCATACTCGATGTGCAAATCAACAGAATCAGCTCTACATCGAATAGTATCACATATAGATTCAAACTGAAACACAAAAGATCAAGACTAGGCCTACACCTTTATCGATATTGAAGGTGCCTTTGACAAAACAAATTTCACCACCATTAACCAAGCTCTGTCTAGACATGGTGTTGATTCCACAATCTCTGGGTGGAACGACAGCATGCTAAGATATAGAGCTATTCAATTTACTATGAGTGAAGTGACTAGGGAAGATGTGGCTAGAGGGTGCCCACAGGGCGGTGTACTCTCCCCCTTCTGTGGAACATAGTTTTGGATGAATTAATCACAGTGCTCAACGACCGCAGATTCTTAAACTTCCTAAACTATCTCAAACACAACTGACTCTTACTAAAGAGGTCAAATACCTAGGAGTTGTACTAGACATTAAACTCCTGTGGAATAGGCACCTCGAAAAGAAACTAAACAAAGCCTGCATAGTCTTCTGCCAATAAAAATGGCTACTCGTCAAAAGCTGGGGACTATCGCCAAAGATTACACAATGGCTCTACAAAACAGTCATATGACCAATAATCACGTACGGTGCCGTTGTCTGGTGGCGGAAAACAGAGTTAAGCACTGTCATCAATAGATTGCAGCAATTCCAGCGACTCTCATGCTCCACGGTCACAGACTGTATGCGCACAACGCAAACTGCCGCACTAGAGGTGGCTCTTGGTCTGCCCCCACTAAACTTGTTAATACAGCAGGACGCAGCCATGACGATCATTAGACTCATACACCTGGGTCTGTGGCACTGTGGGATCGCACTCCAAATTATGGGATTAATTAGTGGAATATGAGCCACTATTAGCAGCCCCATGTGACAGGATCCCAAAACACCATATCTTCTCAAGGAGTGTCACTTCCATATTCCAATGCGAATGGGTGGCAATAACTTACGCCGCCAGAAAGGCCATGCCAAAGTGTATTAAGGACTACAAAATCCGTTTACTGTCAGACAGCATGGCCGTCCTAAAGGCACTCGAGGGCAACACAATGACCTCTGTT